GTCGATCGCCTTGACTTTGAGACAGAGAAGAGGGGGAGGGTTGTAGTGATGCGCAGGTACAGGTTGGGAGGTCGGGTTTTGGTCCAGGGGTGCTACTAGGTCTGTAAAAACCTCAAACTAACACTTCACGGGTCTATTCAGTACTAACTTGTTATGTACAAGGTTTCTCTATTTTATATGGGCTGGAAATAAAATGAATGCAGTGGGGAAATGCAAACGGGCCGATAGGCAACTGTAAATAAAGAATGTCCAATCAGGGACAGAGAAACAATAAAAGATATAGAATGAATGGGGGAATTGTGACAACGGATCCGAAATGGAAATTGTAAGGGTTAACTCCGCAACACTTCGCTACAGCGCCCGCCTATCCTCCCGTCAGCAACCTCCCCATCTCCAGCTTTCCAACGAACCCTCATTTGTCCCGATTGGTGCAGTAGTTCCTGAGATATGGCCATTGACAGGTGCTGTCAACACCACGTGAGGCTCTACACCGTGCTGAACCAATGGGGTTTCCATTCTGGGAAATGCTCCATGAGTGAAGGGGGGAAGGTAGAGCATCACCATCGGGCAGAAAAATGGCTATGTTTGATGTGTAGTTGTGGAGGTCTGGGGAGGGGGTGAAATTGGCCGTGTGGTTGGGTGTGGGAAATTGACCTGGGACTGTCGGGAATGATGGGAAAAATATGGAAAAATAGGGAATGGGTGTATGGAGTGTTAGATAGTGAGGGAATGAGCAATTGAAGCATAGGTGGGTATGTAGTGTGCGTTGTTGGGTAGAATCCACAGAATCCGACTTTTTGCGGTGCACGGACTTGTCCCCACAAAAACTTGGTTCCTTGGGTTGATTGTAACCCAAAGACTGGGGGGGGCCACTTGATCGTTTGACTCCAGATTTTGCTCCGAATTGAGGCCCTGTGGTTGGTAGATACCAAAGGGAACAAGGGAACGAATGGTCTCTGCAAAAACACCCATCATGATACTGTAAGCACCATCCGATGTGTTCAATAAATGTGGGGGGGTGATCCCGTTCTCCTTTGGGTATTCTACACCTGTAAGGGAATAGGCGAGGGAATGCCCTTGAAGAAAAAGCCTTGTTTAAAAAGGGAAATGAGATACTAGAGTAAGGGATGATGAATACAGAACTATGAACATACCTCGACATCGTCGCGAATGCAGTTGTTGCATCGTTTTCTTGTGTTAGAAAAAGAAAATCATAGCGCCTAGCGATCAAGGCAGGAATTTTTGAATCTCACCACTCTTTCCTCAGTTCACACACTACGGCACTGAGGTGAGTCTGACTATCCTCTCACTGTGTCCATCATCTTGTACTGATTCATGTATACCAGCGATATACTCGCTAGGTAATTACTCTCCTCTAGTTCATGTGCTACTGGACTGGGCAATATACTCCCCAGTCTTCCATTTCATCTTGCCCAGAAGATCTGTCCCTTTTAAATCCAGTGCATGCAGGTGAAAGCAACGAGACGCCACCAAGTAAGTCAGCTGGCCACTTGCAAGTTGAGATGAGTCCCTCCGACTGGCTCTTTATTCCAACAAGTTGATACCCTTCGGCTTGAGAACAGTCCAATACATCATTTGAAAAATACGTTAAGTTCTCAGACCGTCATCTGTCGCACAATCACTGGGCCAGCACATGATCATATAAGACGAAAAGATGGACTAGCGATGTTGTCAGGGTCATAAAGAAACTAATTTGCAGGATGGCCAGTTGGAAGACTGGGCATAATTGATATGCTCGACCCATGCATAAGGAATAAGGGCCTAATAAATCTGCGTTCAAATTTTTTTCACGTGTCTAATCATGTCCCACTTGCGCGGCCTGGAGATGGCCCCATGTCCTGTGCTGTTGCAGCACCGAGGGACGAAAACCTATCCGGGTCCTAACTTAATCCTGGATCCTGGGCAGGATTCAAGTCGCTCCAACGGATGGGACCTCGCGCTACCCCATCCTCTGGACCTGTCCTTGCACCTGCGCTTTGGTTTGGCCAACTGGTAAGTTGCCCCATGGCGTGATGGGACCTGTAACTTATGCATGCTGACTAGGCAGCACTAGTCTCTGCAAAATTACACTGCATCTTCAACCGATTCATCGCGTGCGATCTTGTGGGTCTTTCCCTGTTGCGAACCACTCACTTCTTCACTAAGGCACTTGACTTTGTTTGTTCTTTAGCTCTCATTCTTAGTTCTGCCTTACCCTTTCATGCATCCCACCCCTCCCCATCGCCTCCTGCTGTACCATTGACTGCCCTTGTATCTTGTTTCGACTGTTTTTCTTTTGTTTGCATTCAGCGCTTAGTGATAAGTGTTTGCGCTGGGATTGGTTCGACATTGTTTGTAGCTTGTAACTACGGGCTGCCATGTCTGTCTTGTGCAATCGCATTCGCTGCTGGCCCACTGCGGGCCGGGTCCACTACACCGCTGATCCAGACCGATTAGGTCAGAATAGGTCACCGGCAGTTGAGCGAGTGGGAACCGTCACCAGCATCTGTGGGGAAGTCGATGCGAGAAAGGAAAGGTGGTAAAGGAGTCAGCACTAGCCATTTCAACAACACCAACCCAAATGCTTACTTTCTAGCAGGAGAGCACTGCAATATTGTGCTCCTGCACAGCACGGCTATGCAAAGGACCAACAGTTGTTCGAGAGCCATCAGAGGCAATGGGATGATTAGGAGTGAATGGAGAAGCGGGAAGGTTCCCACCTTGTCGTCGTTGATGCTTGGAGAGGTGATCTCGCTGGCGACATGAATCTGCAGCGCTCGAGCACGGTGGTTTCGTGAATGGACCACTTCAGTGGTTAGATCCAGAAGCTATCTAAGTTCCAGGTTACCAGCCAGGGACTCCTGCAACATGATTGGTGTGACCTCCGACTCCGATTTCAATCAAATACACTGCAGGCCAGTACAGATCCGAGTTGATTTCTGTGGGAAAGACCAAGTCGAGATCGCTTCATTTACATGAACAATGAATGGCTTTTCAGAGTGGATTGGCAAGCGCCGCACGTGAAGCCGAAGATACAAAAACCACTGCATGGAACCCGCATCCAAAGAACCCCCCCAATCCTGATCTCATTTGCGGCATCATCTCCCTAAATGGTGAACATGTATAGCCCCACAAATAGATGAACGTCACTCATCCCTGCTCATGCTCCAAAGGAGGTCTCCGCTATCGCCTTACATTTCTCCCCTTTCGAGGTCAAAATTCCTTGCGCTCGCAGGTTGACATTAACTGGGATCTTCATTGCATCTGGCTGGCGAAGAACGGTTGATGCTTGCAGACTGGCTGCCAGGTGGGCATTGTTGGTAGGCGAAGGAGAGCGGATCGCTTCCTCAGCAAGCAGATTAGTCAGTGGAATGGGTAACTGGAAGGCGAGGAAGATTGGACCACCATCACATGTGTGATCACGAAAAAGAACATGAGACGGGGACGGTTAGGACCAAAGAGGACCGCATCAGAATCTTGTGACACAAAACTTTGTCACACTGGCTTCGCAATCTCCCGAAGGCCGGCATTTCTCACTACCGGCAGGCTCACGTGGCATTCGACACCATGTGGAATCATCGTGGTAAGGCAAATATCATCACCTCTCCACAACCGCTGGGCCAATTGCCCTGAAACTTGACATTCCTAGGCAACTTTTTTCCCTCTATTATGAGTCCATCGCTCTCGACGATGAGCAGCTATGATTTTAGAATTTGGGTGACGTTGTAAACTTTTTTTTTTTTAATTCTAACACACTCTGTGGACATTGTATAGTTATTTCCCCAATAGTCCATCGCAGTGTTATTCCACGCCTACAACCTTCCCCCCGGCCTCTCTTTGTGTGCGGTAGGAAACGAGGCAGTTCTGGAGGACTAGCTTCCCTGATGACCTCCCTGGTGGCTTCTCTGGCTGCGTCCCTGGTGACCACTAACCCAGTTACACGTGGCCGAGGACGAGGACGAGATGAGACTGAGGAAGTTGGTACAATGAATGTACCCTGAGTTGTAGACACTTGAGTGGTGCGATTGGGTGTAGATATCGCTGGGCCTTGCACAGCGTGACCAAGAGTGGATGCAACACGGCTTGGGGCAGTGGCTGAGGCAGAAGGACCCACACTCCTTGAGCCAATGCCCAACCCTCTGGATCCTAAAAAAAAGGAAAATCACGTTAGACAACATGCAGTGATCATTTGCCCTTGCACTGACCACTGCTGTATTTGCCTCCCAGTCGCAACTCGTCCAAATCTGAACCCTCTGAACCACCCATGTCACCAGTTGGCTCCATCCGGCCTGATTGGTTCTCTACACTCTAAATCAGCATGCCAGTCGTGAGGGGTGATGCAGAGGCGCAGTCTTACCACTCCAACTTTGGCTCCCCATGTTATCTGCCTGTGAGGTGCCTGTTGGATATGAATCCATCGATGCGTATCTCTCCCAAGGTCAAATTAAATTACGTACTGTCCTCGTCATCTGCATCGCTGGGGGGAATTCTGGCTTTTGCTGGATGCAACTTGTAGCTGCTAGCATCAGAGCTGGCCGGTGTGCTCGCTTTATCTGCCCGCAACCTCTTGCCCTTGGTGTTGGTTGCATCAGAGGATCGCTTTTTCCTCTTGGAGGTTGAAGCCACCGACTCTTCCGTGCCCTCTTCCACACTATCCATGGCTGCTTGGGCGCTTCCAGTTATAATTATTGCCTCCAGTTCTGTATGTATGTCTCAGAATCTGATGGACGATCAAAAAAGGACTTTACCTTCTCTGTCCGCCTGGTTAGTGAAAAGCTGAAGCTGGAGTGCCTTATGCTTGGATGTATTCAGCATGAACGCATCAGCAGAGTTCACCGTGCACATATGGTAGCAATGGACGGGTGATTTCTGGGGTTGCCTGTGGACTCTAGCAATGATCTGATCTGTATCTTGCTGGCTCCATTGGGAATTCTAGTGGTAGGTGAATGTCAAGCAAAAGGATGACATGTTGACGCGCTGAGAGGGACTCACCATAAGAATCAATCGATCAGCAGCGCTCAGATTCACACCAGCCTTCAGAACGTTGGTAAAGATCAGGACCCTAATGTGCAGCCCATTCACGACCTCGCCACGCTTCCACTTGTCGATGATAGGCAACCGGACCGATGCATCCTTGTCCCCATCCAGAACGAGGGCACCGATGTTGAGTTTGACATGGATGGCGGAGGCAAAGGCTGGGGCATTGGATTTGAACTCCATAAACACGGCGATCTTCCGATTCTGGGTAGGCTTCACAGTTGCACCAGGAGAAAGTGCAGGAATCTGGATCTCCCCAGCCTCGTTCACGGTGCAGGGGGGGATGTCATCACGAAGGCAGTCGTGCTTGATGATCTGCAGTGCAGTTTCCCACTTGGCACAGTGCTCCAACCCACCGTTCTGTTCGTAGTCTTCCAGGGACCCAAAAATTGGTGCTGACATGCTGCGAGAACAGGACACACAGTGATCTGTCCCCTTCCTACCCCTGATGAGAAATCTCTGATGATTTGTGTCGTCAGACAGTAGTACACTCCACTGGAACAACTAACATCACTTACGCCATATTCTTTTGGTCCCATGGTGCCACTGAAGGTGGCAGGGTGAATACCTGTATCGAGTGCTGAAAGAGAATACTGACTTGTCCACTGCTGCCTTCGTTATGCCTGACAGCGCATTCTCATGTGCTGAACCCAACTTCACCCACACCTGGATCTGGACGAGAGGTGGCAATGCAACAAGAAGAGTCCCATCGCGACGCTTGGACTCCAGACAACGACGCAGAATCACCCCTTCGAAGTGCTTCTTGAAGTCTATGATGGACTCATGGATTAGGGCACGGTAACCAATGGCAGCGTCATCGGAGTTGATGGTGCTGAAATCTCCCGTTTCCATCGCCTTCTCCAAGTCTGCCTTGCACCTCTTGCTTAAAGCTCTTTGCATAGATGCAACGCTCCTCTGAGTGTCCCACTGTTTGGAGGTGACGGCAAGGTCCATGAAGGTGGGGATACCGAGTAAAAGTCCAAGGTTCAACAAATCCTGTACTTGGTTAGACACGATGTCGCTCTGAGGAATGGGACGTGATTACCTGGGGCTCTGTGATGAGCGGTGTGCCAGACATCCCGATGACAAATTGTGAGCGTTCACGCATGGGTATCAACTCTGCCGGATTTTTGCGAAACACATGCACCTCATCCGCGATGAAGGTGCAGGGCCTGAGACAGAATATGCTCCCATCTGTGGACTGATTTGGATTGCGGCGGCGTGGACATTCCCATACCGGTTGGCTCTTCATTCCAGGACGGGAAGGGGATGAGGGCTTGTTGAAAAAACGCAAAAATTCTTTCTTGTACAGCTGGCAGCATAGGATGGTGAGTATCTGAAATTCAGACGTGTCAAGATCTTACTGAATCAGAAACCACAACAATCCGTTGTTCCAGTGGCAACTGTGAGGCGTTCCAGGGGCCATTGCCTGCCCAGAATCCATTGGCTGACTTGGACGAGTACAGAAACACATCCACAGTTTGAGGTGCAAACCAGGTTCGAATCTCCCGCATCCAGTTCTCCATCAGGGACACCGAAGAGATTACCACATGTGGACCACAGTGTACGTTGGAATCCTTTGACCCAACTGGGAAGGGGCACTCAGCTATGGTGAAAATGTATCAGGGTATGTTCCCCTTGAGGTATTGGAGTGGTCGCCGCTCACCATAGATCGATCCATCAGGGAGATTCATGTTGTGATGTTTCTGTGCTGCGATTCGCGACATAACCATGGAAATGAATCCGAGTGCTTGCCTGGAAGAAAACTTCTTAGTCATAGTCCCAAGATGACCAAATCAACACCACTGCTTACGCAGTCTTCCCAATGCCCATAGTGTCAGCAATGAGGATGCCCGTTTTTGGGGAGGGTCGGGGCCGGAAAAGCATGGAGTATATGCTGTGGAGCCCATCTAATTGCTGCTCCTGAAGATGGAGAGGCTGGATGTTTCCACTCTGGCGATAGTCCTTCCAGGTTTCACGATCCCAGGGAGAGTAGATTTGCGAAACATCGTATTCCGTGTTCAGGAAACCAAGCTGCCGAGATTGTATGTGGCCAAGATTGAGGCCAAGCTTTTCCTTGAGCTGCTCCAATGAAAAGCCTCTTGCAGCTTCGATGCCCAGGTCTTCGATGCCCCATGATTGTTGACCACCAGAGGGAAGGCAATTGGTCAGTTGCACCTCTCTGAGGTCTTCGGGTCCCAAGCTGTACACATCCTGATCCCACAGCTCGACAAGGTAGCGCTCGAGATCCATACGTTGCTCGTCATTGGCAAGATTCTGCAGGACATACAAGGTGGTTGCAGTAACTGCAACCACCACTACAAATCGTCGGTGAGTATGAGACGAAACATTACTAAGGGTCACACACTCTTGTTCCCCACAAGCTTGTTCTCTGCACCCTCGACACGCATGTGATGCAGAAGCCATTCCATGTAGGTCTCCATCTCCGTGATTTCCTTTCTCCGATGTTTGTCGATGAATAGTCTGGCCTTCTCCCGCCATGTCAAGTATGAACGAATGAAACTACGAATCTTCGGCATATTGAGTTTGTCTGGCGTATTACCATCCAGGCATGCTCGAATTTCTGTGTTTGTTGTGTCACTGTGACGATGTAGAAATGAGGTCCTCCAACATACCATCATACTTGCGAAGAATTTCCACATGCAATTCTCCAGCTTCCTTTTGAGTGCGGGACGTCTGGACCTGGAGATTGTGCCAGACGATACTAACCATTTTGTCGATTACATCCATCACATCCATGGAGATCATCATTTCGCCATCGTTCCTGTCGATTGTAGAAATTTCAGGGCCGAAAACTTCGTTTGCAATGTCCTGGTGCAGGTTGCCAAGGCTGACAGGTTTCGATGGGAACTTGACCTGACCCTCCCGCGTCATTATTTGGTGAGGGTGGCAGGCATTCCGATGTAGAAGCTGAACGATGAGGTTATAACCATCTAGCCGTTTCCAGATTTTCTTCCAAGCATCCTTCCAGAGTTTTTTCGCAGGTGCCAGTTCTGGGTGCGTTCGAGATGTGAAGAGGATTCCGACTTGATCAGCAGACTTGTTGCCTGCAACCTCAAAGAGCCGCTGCACAGATTGCATCTCAGAGTGAGTCCAGCCAATGTATTCCGGGATGAGCGCAGCACTGTCAGGGAAGAGTCCCAACTGGAGCTGAGTGGCCTGCCTCCAGATTGCACCAATGAAAGGGAGACGAAGATGTTGGTCCACATCAAAGTTCGCCCCAAGTCCCCAAAATATGGGTATTATGCCTACAATTGGAAGCCGAGGCATCGTAGGACTACCTTGGTGGATTAGGTAGTTCGTTTTTGGTAGTTTACGTGTAGGGGGGAGTTTGGACATAGACATATCAAAATCCTTACGGCATTTTTCATCACAGCATGAGGACACTGCCGCGGACTGCCGGCATCTGGATGAAAACCCTGAGATCTGATTTTGGCCAGATGCCATGGTCATTGTTAGCAAGGTCTTCTTTAGCAACGTCGTCACACTCAGGAATGATTCATATCCACTGAAATTACGTGTCATGTTGCCGCACATGTCATGACAGGATGGAGGTGGTTCCAGAGGAACCAATATGACAATATATGACAATAAAACTCGGACAACTCCCACAATACAGCTGAGGTCGTAACTAAACAGCGGTCTGTTCCTCTGGTGTGGTATTCCTCATTCCTCATGATTGCACTATTCATTCCTCAACGTGAGGAAAGCCTATTGCAACACTGTACAGCCACACATACACAGACAGTGGCTGTTGCTCATGTCGAGGAACAAACAGTGACATGAGCGATGGCAATGCCACACTTGGAGGAACAGACCTTGTGCTGGCAGTACCGTGTCGATAGGAAAATAAGGCAATGCTTGGGGCAACTCCGCAACCGTGTGAATTGGGTTGGGTTGGGTTGGGTTTGGGTTGGGTTGGGTTGGGTTGGGTTGGGTTGGGTTGGGTTGGGTTGGGTTGGGTTGGGTTGGGTTGGGTTGGTTGGGTTGGGTTGGGTTG